GAAATTAAAGAAACGGATTGAAAACAAGCCCTCAGGGCATTCTGCAACATGCACGTGTTCATCCCACAGCAGCAAGTGGTGCCAGAAATGGCAAGGCCCAGGGAGCAGTCACGTGCATTAGCAACTTACCTTTTCAGTGTACGAACACAGGTAAACCCACGAAAGGGAAAATGCCAGCATGCTGAGCTAGTATGGGACTAATGACCCATGAAGTGTTCTCTGCCTCCGATTCCTAGGGTTCGGTGTACCAGTGCTAGCCTGCGCTCCTTTATGTCAGAACACTAACATTTGCACTCCACTCTTTTACTTAGCACGGGGATGCAATGCTATGGGCTGACAGAGAGATTTTGTTTTGCTGCGCAATTCCAGGGTATCATTTTTGATTATTCTCTTCTCAAAGCCACAAATAACCGCCCAGAGAAAGTCAGGGCTTTTCATTTCTTTGCATGCCACCTGGCTCCGGAAAAATCACTCTCCTGCATGGGTGACTGAGCACAGACCGAAACCTCCCGACTGAGATGTGCAATTGTTATCGTGGCAGGGTTTAGAGTCCCCAGTTGTAGACCAGGGCACAAAGCAATCACAGAAGGAACACTAGCCCTGCCCCAGATGGCGTGCCACCTGACAAGCCCAGCATGCGGTTGGATACCGTACACCTTACCCTGCGCCAACACAACCACTGAAGTGCTGCTGCTTTCAGTAAGGGACAAGCAATTCCTAGGTGCCCTCGTTAAGGCTGTGAAATCACCAAGGAGGCGGCAACCATGACTACAGAGCAAAATCCAGGTTCTGTAATAAGTTTACTGCACAGGCAGGAGTGCAGCTCTTTCCAGACAACAGTGGGCACTTTCACACACCTGGCCAGGAAGTGGTAGTGGGGGCTGGTAGCTGCTTTACCTTAAGCAAAAGGCTACCCCAGGATGAAATGAATGATGGCAGCAGAGAAGTGACAGGTACTCCGGTGTAACGTACACCTCGCTTTGAGGGAGAACTCCCCTCTGGAGTAGAGTGACTTATGCCAGCGCACGACTGAGCGTGGTGTGTCCACTCCACTTGCACTACAAGAGTGAGGTCAACTTATTCTGTGGCAAGCATGTGGTGTGTCCACACCCCCTGGACAAGAGCTGCTATAGCAATACAAGGCAGGATTATCCTCATGTTGTGCTGAGGGTCAGTGTTGAGCTGGCCTTTTAACTGGCAGCTGGGAGAGGCTGAAGAACAGTCCCCGTTTTGAACAGTGCTGGAAAGCACTAAGCGTATTTCTTCCCAAGGGCCAGGTGGTGAAAATCCACCCGTCACCCTGGCGGAGAATGGCCAACGAATTGTCGACCCTGCCCCTTCCCGTTCCCCAATGTGGGAACTTGCCATGGGGGAATGTCTGATCTTGCCCAGGGCAGGCTGCCCAGCTGGCTCGGAGCACAGCCCGTGGATGGCTTCTGAATGGTCCACGCTTCAGACTAAACTTCAGAACAAAAGATTTAAAAATAGGAGACTCCAATGAAATGGATACACGGGGGCCAGCCATTCGTGCAGAAAGCTTACTTAATGAGGCTGCCTGGAGCTTGCTCTGGGAAGAAAGTGCGATAGGAAGCGTCCCTTCCTGCCTTTCGCTGGCAGAAGTGAATTATTCAGCTGTTCAATGGCTTTGCACTGGTGCAGCGTGGAGGATCCCTACCAGCCCGCAGCACCACTCTGGAGCTGTTTACCTCCCTTGTGGGGGGGCTATCTCGCCCAGCTCAAACAAACTAGATCATAACCACCCTGATTACAATTTGGACACGAAACAACATTAACCCTTTTGATGTTTCTCTGGGGGGGATTCTGTCCATGGGCACAACTAGGAACAAGGTCTGAGATGCACGTCTAATTCACTGTCACTTGTACGCTTGGCGCCATAAGTGTTTGCTTCTCCTATTGCACTTCTGTTTGCCTGGTACAACAGAGTACTGCTGGCTCGTTGTAGTACTAAGTTACTCTCTGCCTGGGCTCAGCTGTTCTACCAGCCACGTAGGGGAGCAGAGCAATGGCTGACCATTCCCCACCAACCTGCCCCAGAGAAGTTGCAAACAGATCTCTACCCATGTTCAGAGCAAAGACCTGGGCAGTCCCTAGAAGCAGCAAGGGGGCATGAGCATCCTCCTGTGCAAGCATAGGCATGCAGAGAAACAATTATACGGCTTAAAAAATGGTGGAAGGGGCTTCTGGCAGGTCAGCTGGATTGCTGTAACCATCTGGTGTGCCTGCTCCTTTCCAGTCTGCATAAGTGGAAGTTACAGTAGGGGCAGCTTCCTCCTGGTTAAATTACCCATTACCATTACTGCACAACAGAGACAGAGGATGGTTACAGTGGAGTCACCTGATCTGTTGTGCTCATGACAGGCGAGTCTCTCCCCCAGCTCTCAAAATATCCAGTCAAGCCCTGCGTGTAGTTCTTGTACATCCAGAACCGCAACGGCCAGGGGCTCACAAGAAATGCCGCAGGAGCCTTAGAGCAGAATTCAGCATTTCTACTGCATCTTTCACCCATGGATCTCCGTGCTCAGCCAGAGGACACCCACTGCCCCGGCAGCACACTGCACTGCCATGCAGGGGAGAAGGGAGAAGAGCAAGCCACTGGCTTGTTAGCAGGGCTCCTGGAATTACCCTTAAGGTCCTGCACTCAGGTAAGACTCAGCTACACCCTGCTTCACAGGAGAGAGAGAGGAAGCCACGTCAACAGCTACCAAACTAATTACTGGAGCAAGCTATCTTGGAAGAGGTGAGCAAAGGTGATTTCTGGCAATCAGCGATGGGTCACCAGTACCTTTTGACATCAGCCTGTGGCAGAGAGCTGTAGACTTTCATCATGTCAATGGCGTTTGCCGTTTCCCAGCCATTTAACAACAATCGCTCCTTCTGTAAAAGAAACAGGAAGCACAAGACTCAGAGGGCTCTAGAGGAGAGTAGAACGACGGCGCGTCCCAAGGGCCTCTTGTTCCAAGGACCATACAGGTCACCTCCTCAACCTGCTCTCCAAAGATGTTTAATGTTCGTTTCTAAGCAAAGCTTGTTTAAGCCAAATGAATAAAGAAAACCTTGGTGCCGAGCTAAATTAGGCTGTATTTTGGCTCCACTCTATTTTTCTCACTTGCCACAAACAGCAGATGCCAGTCAGCTCTGATTTGCAGGGCTCATTCCCAGAGGTTATGGGAACAAGGAGAAGGGAAGAGGCTACTTTGGGGTGGACAACCACTGTTCACCGCTCTGAGCCTTGCAGCTGCCCCACCGTGAGGAGGAGGGCTGGCAGTTTAGACTAAACAGCGACGGGTAAGAAAATGCCTTGTTGCTCTGCACTGCTCACCTGAGACTCTAAGGACCAGCAGACTTCCACGCCAGCCAGGTTGCATTGCCTTCTCTGCAAGTTCTCAATCATGATCTGTCCAAACCGATCAGCCATGTTCACCTGGGGACAAAGAGAAGACAAGGCTGGTTTTCATAGAATCATAGAAAATTTGGGATGGAAGAGACCTCAGGAAGTCATCTAGTCCAATCCCCTGCTCAAAGCAGGACCAGCCCCAACTACATCATCCCAGCCAAGGCTTTGTCTACCCGGGTCTTCAAAACCTCCAAGGATGGAAACTCCATCACTTCTCTAAACAACACGTTCCAGTGCTACATCACTCTCCTAATGAGAGAGTTTTTCCTAATATCCAACCTCAACTTTCCTTGCTGCCACTTGAGTCCATTAATCCTTGTCCTGTCGTCTGCCCCCACTGAGAACAGTCCAGCTCCAGCCTCAAAAGGGATTGAACTGCAGCAGAAAGCAATAACTGAACTGAAGCCCTCTTGTTAGCCCCATACATTTATACTGTGGGCAGCAAAAGCCTCTTTTCTTCTCTCACCAGCCTGATATAGCTCTCTCATCACAGCTACGGCAGTCCTTGGGCCCTCAAACAGGACTTTCAGCAGAAGGAAAGGCCTTGTGGTGATGACAGCTTTCTCTTTAGGAACAAGGCATACTATGAACAGGATCGGAGGACTGCCAGCCCTTTCCACAGGGACTGCTAAAAGCCTATCATAAAGAAAAGACTTCTAGCTGCTACCAGCTGAGTCTGTGCTCAAATAATTGACCTGAAAAGTCGAAAATTCATTACCCATTCCTTAAGTTACCCAAGTCCCAAAAGGCAACTTTCTGCTGCCACACAGAAAGGCTCATCTTCAGGCTGATACAGGCTGGCAATTTTAATAACAGAGCCAAAGGAGAGATCAGTGACTATCTGTAACCAGCTTGCCTAAGAGTGCTCAGTGCTATTTCCTTCAGTTCTGCCGCACTGACCCTGGCATCTAGGGCTCTGCAAGAGTCTCAATCGTTTTGCTTCAGGGAAGCGCACGATGGATACAAACAACATTAGCCAATCATGCTCAGACCATGCCTGCCCTGCAGGTTTGCCAACAACTGAAGATGGCCCAAACACCCAAGATCCCCAGCCCCAGTAACTTCTTGAATTTGCACAGCTCTGTACAAGGTCAAAAGCATTCAGGCTCAGAGCCTCCCCTCTCATCCCATGCAAAATCCCCACGGCTTTCTGCGTGCTCTGTGCCGAAGAGCTGCATGGGTTTGGCTTTACCTGCTCATAGTTTATGAACATGGCTGTCTGAAAAGTGCTTGCAGCCCACTTCAGAAGACTTGCAGACTGCTGCGGCGTCATATAGACCAGCACGGAAATTAAAGAAACGGATTGAAAACAAGCCCTCAGGGCATTCTGCAACATGCACGTGTTCATCCCACAGCAGCAAGTGGTGCCAGAAATGGCAAGGCCCAGGGAGCAGTCACGTGCATTAGCAACTTACCTTTTCAGTGTACGAACACAGGTAAACCCACGAAAGGGAAAATGCCAGCATGCTGAGCTAGTATGGGACTAATGACCCATGAAGTGTTCTCTGCCTCCGATTCCTAGGGTTCGGTGTACCAGTGCTAGCCTGCGCTCCTTTATGTCAGAACACTAACATTTGCACTCCACTCTTTTACTTAGCACGGGGATGCAATGCTATGGGCTGACAGAGAGATTTTGTTTTGCTGCGCAATTCCAGGGTATCATTTTTGATTATTCTCTTCTCAAAGCCACAAATAACCGCCCAGAGAAAGTCAGGGCTTTTCATTTCTTTGCATGCCACCTGGCTCCGGAAAAATCACTCTCCTGCATGGGTGACTGAGCACAGACCGAAACCTCCCGACTGAGATGTGCAATTGTTATCGTGGCAGGGTTTAGAGTCCCCAGTTGTAGACCAGGGCACAAAGCAATCACAGAAGGAACACTAGCCCTGCCCCAGATGGCGTGCCACCTGACAAGCCCAGCATGCGGTTGGATACCGTACACCTTACCCTGCGCCAACACAACCACTGAAGTGCTGCTGCTTTCAGTAAGGGACAAGCAATTCCTAGGTGCCCTCGTTAAGGCTGTGAAATCACCAAGGAGGCGGCAACCATGACTACAGAGCAAAATCCAGGTTCTGTAATAAGTTTACTGCACAGGCAGGAGTGCAGCTCTTTCCAGACAACAGTGGGCACTTTCACACACCTGGCCAGGAAGTGGTAGTGGGGGCTGGTAGCTGCTTTACCTTAAGCAAAAGGCTACCCCAGGATGAAATGAATGATGGCAGCAGAGAAGTGACAGGTACTCCGGTGTAACGTACACCTCGCTTTGAGGGAGAACTCCCCTCTGGAGTAGAGTGACTTATGCCAGCGCACGACTGAGCGTGGTGTGTCCACTCCACTTGCACTACAAGAGTGAGGTCAACTTATTCTGTGGCAAGCATGTGGTGTGTCCACACCCCCTGGACAAGAGCTGCTATAGCAATACAAGGCAGGATTATCCTCATGTTGTGCTGAGGGTCAGTGTTGAGCTGGCCTTTTAACTGGCAGCTGGGAGAGGCTGAAGAACAGTCCCCGTTTTGAACAGTGCTGGAAAGCACTAAGCGTATTTCTTCCCAAGGGCCAGGTGGTGAAAATCCACCCGTCACCCTGGCGGAGAATGGCCAACGAATTGTCGACCCTGCCCCTTCCCGTTCCCCAATGTGGGAACTTGCCATGGGGGAATGTCTGATCTTGCCCAGGGCAGGCTGCCCAGCTGGCTCGGAGCACAGCCCGTGGATGGCTTCTGAATGGTCCACGCTTCAGACTAAACTTCAGAACAAAAGATTTAAAAATAGGAGACTCCAATGAAATGGATACACGGGGGCCAGCCATTCGTGCAGAAAGCTTACTTAATGAGGCTGCCTGGAGCTTGCTCTGGGAAGAAAGTGCGATAGGAAGCGTCCCTTCCTGCCTTTCGCTGGCAGAAGTGAATTATTCAGCTGTTCAATGGCTTTGCACTGGTGCAGCGTGGAGGATCCCTACCAGCCCGCAGCACCACTCTGGAGCTGTTTACCTCCCTTGTGGGGGGGCTATCTCGCCCAGCTCAAACAAACTAGATCATAACCACCCTGATTACAATTTGGACACGAAACAACATTAACCCTTTTGATGTTTCTCTGGGGGGGATTCTGTCCATGGGCACAACTAGGAACAAGGTCTGAGATGCACGTCTAATTCACTGTCACTTGTACGCTTGGCGCCATAAGTGTTTGCTTCTCCTATTGCACTTCTGTTTGCCTGGTACAACAGAGTACTGCTGGCTCGTTGTAGTACTAAGTTACTCTCTGCCTGGGCTCAGCTGTTCTACCAGCCACGTAGGGGAGCAGAGCAATGGCTGACCATTCCCCACCAACCTGCCCCAGAGAAGTTGCAAACAGATCTCTACCCATGTTCAGAGCAAAGACCTGGGCAGTCCCTAGAAGCAGCAAGGGGGCATGAGCATCCTCCTGTGCAAGCATAGGCATGCAGAGAAACAATTATACGGCTTAAAAAATGGTGGAAGGGGCTTCTGGCAGGTCAGCTGGATTGCTGTAACCATCTGGTGTGCCTGCTCCTTTCCAGTCTGCATAAGTGGAAGTTACAGTAGGGGCAGCTTCCTCCTGGTTAAATTACCCATTACCATTACTGCACAACAGAGACAGAGGATGGTTACAGTGGAGTCACCTGATCTGTTGTGCTCATGACAGGCGAGTCTCTCCCCCAGCTCTCAAAATATCCAGTCAAGCCCTGCGTGTAGTTCTTGTACATCCAGAACCGCAACGGCCAGGGGCTCACAAGAAATGCCGCAGGAGCCTTAGAGCAGAATTCAGCATTTCTACTGCATCTTTCACCCATGGATCTCCGTGCTCAGCCAGAGGACACCCACTGCCCCGGCAGCACACTGCACTGCCATGCAGGGGAGAAGGGAGAAGAGCAAGCCACTGGCTTGTTAGCAGGGCTCCTGGAATTACCCTTAAGGTCCTGCACTCAGGTAAGACTCAGCTACACCCTGCTTCACAGGAGAGAGAGAGGAAGCCACGTCAACAGCTACCAAACTAATTACTGGAGCAAGCTATCTTGGAAGAGGTGAGCAAAGGTGATTTCTGGCAATCAGCGATGGGTCACCAGTACCTTTTGACATCAGCCTGTGGCAGAGAGCTGTAGACTTTCATCATGTCAATGGCGTTTGCCGTTTCCCAGCCATTTAACAACAATCGCTCCTTCTGTAAAAGAAACAGGAAGCACAAGACTCAGAGGGCTCTAGAGGAGAGTAGAACGACGGCGCGTCCCAAGGGCCTCTTGTTCCAAGGACCATACAGGTCACCTCCTCAACCTGCTCTCCAAAGATGTTTAATGTTCGTTTCTAAGCAAAGCTTGTTTAAGCCAAATGAATAAAGAAAACCTTGGTGCCGAGCTAAATTAGGCTGTATTTTGGCTCCACTCTATTTTTCTCACTTGCCACAAACAGCAGATGCCAGTCAGCTCTGATTTGCAGGGCTCATTCCCAGAGGTTATGGGAACAAGGAGAAGGGAAGAGGCTACTTTGGGGTGGACAACCACTGTTCACCGCTCTGAGCCTTGCAGCTGCCCCACCGTGAGGAGGAGGGCTGGCAGTTTAGACTAAACAGCGACGGGTAAGAAAATGCCTTGTTGCTCTGCACTGCTCACCTGAGACTCTAAGGACCAGCAGACTTCCACGCCAGCCAGGTTGCATTGCCTTCTCTGCAAGTTCTCAATCATGATCTGTCCAAACCGATCAGCCATGTTCACCTGGGGACAAAGAGAAGACAAGGCTGGTTTTCATAGAATCATAGAAAATTTGGGATGGAAGAGACCTCAGGAAGTCATCTAGTCCAATCCCCTGCTCAAAGCAGGACCAGCCCCAACTACATCATCCCAGCCAAGGCTTTGTCTACCCGGGTCTTCAAAACCTCCAAGGATGGAAACTCCATCACTTCTCTAAACAACACGTTCCAGTGCTACATCACTCTCCTAATGAGAGAGTTTTTCCTAATATCCAACCTCAACTTTCCTTGCTGCCACTTGAGTCCATTAATCCTTGTCCTGTCGTCTGCCCCCACTGAGAACAGTCCAGCTCCAGCCTCAAAAGGGATTGAACTGCAGCAGAAAGCAATAACTGAACTGAAGCCCTCTTGTTAGCCCCATACATTTATACTGTGGGCAGCAAAAGCCTCTTTTCTTCTCTCACCAGCCTGATATAGCTCTCTCATCACAGCTACGGCAGTCCTTGGGCCCTCAAACAGGACTTTCAGCAGAAGGAAAGGCCTTGTGGTGATGACAGCTTTCTCTTTAGGAACAAGGCATACTATGAACAGGATCGGAGGACTGCCAGCCCTTTCCACAGGGACTGCTAAAAGCCTATCATAAAGAAAAGACTTCTAGCTGCTACCAGCTGAGTCTGTGCTCAAATAATTGACCTGAAAAGTCGAAAATTCATTACCCATTCCTTAAGTTACCCAAGTCCCAAAAGGCAACTTTCTGCTGCCACACAGAAAGGCTCATCTTCAGGCTGATACAGGCTGGCAATTTTAATAACAGAGCCAAAGGAGAGATCAGTGACTATCTGTAACCAGCTTGCCTAAGAGTGCTCAGTGCTATTTCCTTCAGTTCTGCCGCACTGACCCTGGCATCTAGGGCTCTGCAAGAGTCTCAATCGTTTTGCTTCAGGGAAGCGCACGATGGATACAAACAACATTAGCCAATCATGCTCAGACCATGCCTGCCCTGCAGGTTTGCCAACAACTGAAGATGGCCCAAACACCCAAGATCCCCAGCCCCAGTAACTTCTTGAATTTGCACAGCTCTGTACAAGGTCAAAAGCATTCAGGCTCAGAGCCTCCCCTCTCATCCCATGCAAAATCCCCACGGCTTTCTGCGTGCTCTGTGCCGAAGAGCTGCATGGGTTTGGCTTTACCTGCTCATAGTTTATGAACATGGCTGTCTGAAAAGTGCTTGCAGCCCACTTCAGAAGACTTGCAGACTGCTGCGGCGTCATATAGACCAGCACGCACTCTGTGATGAGAAGCGTTGGCAATCTTTAAAATAAATAAATAACACCAAGCAAGAACAATTAGTGACAGACAAGTACTTTCATAAGCACAAATGAACTCGACAGCTCGAGGAAACGAGACATCATCATTTTATCAAGCAAAGTGTAGGTCTGGGCCCTTAACCCACATGTTATCTGCGCAGGGTACAAAGTACAGGAGTTGTGAGTTCTCCTCTGTGGTTTCCTAACCTTTGCCATGCTGTGGCCAAATGGTACAGCGCTTCTCTCCCCATTCACCTGGATCGAAAAGGA